AAGCAGACAGAGCAATTTGTGCAGGGAGTGATTTTTTTTTTTACCTGAACTTTGCATGCTGTAAGGTGTTCCAGGCCTAGTCTACACTACGCCCCCCTCGATCTAAGATACTATGTTAATAGCATAGCTGAATTCAATGTACTTAGACCTACTTACCGTGGTGTCTTCCATGCAGTAAGATCAGTGGCTGATGCTATCCTGTGAACTGTGCCTGCTCTTCTCATCCTGCTAGAGTACCACAGTACCAGAGTCAACAGGAGAGCACTCAGAGGTTGATTCATTGTGTCTAAGCAGGCAGGGACAGCATGTACTTAGCATTTACTTAAAACTATACATGTTCAAAGCATTGGACAATTGCTGACATCAATTATTAAGGGTCGGGGAGGAGTGGAATCTGGTAAATGATAATACACCAGGAAGTAACACTTTAATTCCCCGTAAAAATACCACTTTAAAAGAATCTTAAGCTTGCTAGATCACTTATTTCCTGATTTTTGATTGCTTTGCTCTGCAGCCTTAACTCTGCCCTCTTGTGTGTATGCATTAAAATGCACTCGTGAATTACATGCTAACCTGCTGTTTTCCTGCCATGTATTTGGATTGTGTGTCATGCCTATACGGATGTACTTGTCCGTTTGGAATGCAAAGCACTGAAGTGATAGCCAGATTGCTTTTCTTTGTTGAGAAACAAGTGCTTTTATGAGGAAAATGCCATCTGGCCTTTCCTGAGCAATGACTGTGCCATGTGAGTTCTCTTGGAGAAGTCTTTTTTGTCCTTTGCTTGCATAATAAAATCTTTGAGGCTCAAAAGAGAGAGCAGAGCTGGTTACTATGTTTCTGTGGGAGAAAGTGACAAAGTGTCTGGGCCTTGGAAACGTCTTCGCACTGTATGTACAGAGTTAGCAATGCACGGAATGATACGGCAAGGGTAGTATGGCATGCCTCCAGCACGGCACAGGGGAGCATACTGTGCCCAGTCTGTGCAGAGCAGATGAGGGTGGGTGGGTTGGGAAAGGCGCAAGGAAACTGTCACACCCACAACTAATTTAGGTGCAAATGAAGGAGGGATAAATGTCGGATATCAACGTCGAACTATGTGATTGTGTTGACAAAGGAGGGGGTTGTTAGCATTCGCATGGAGAATTCTGCACCCTCTCCGACTGGGAAACCAAGATGAGGCTTCTGGTAACGAGCGGAAAGCTCACCGTAGTTACAGGAGCCAGTGGCCCCGACCCCGGCCATGAGTGATCCATGGGGTGTGATCCATGGGGCAGACACTGGGAACTGGAGGCCAGTCCTGTGACAGCTTTCCTGTTCCTCGTGCCGTTATTAGCGATGCACATGGAAGAGCAGCGGGTGGCAGGCTGTGCTTGGAGACTGGCACTTGGGGTGTCGTATTCAGAGGCTCTGCTCCCTGATGGACACAAAGCCATGTGTGCTCACCACGCCCTTGTTCTAACCCAGAGGTGGGCAAGTGTGGGCGTTGCACGGTTTCCCTGTGTGCTCGCAGCCCAGCCCCACCACTTGAAGCAGGGATACATGGATATTCTCTGCACAGTCCCATCCAAACCCCACTCCGGGGAAGCACAGGAATGGTGAGGGGCGTGGCTGAGGCAGGAGCTGGCAGACTGACCCATCAGCTCCCTGTCCTGCTTCAGGTTGCAGGAAGTGAAGAAGGCTTGTGCAGAGGCCCCCCAGGAACCAGCGGGTCAGTGCCAGCTGGGTGGAAGAGGCAGGAGGCTCCCCGGAGCAGAGGTGGGTGGCAGGGGGCAGTGGAGGCGGGACTCATCGGTGGAGTGAATCGCTGGAAGGAGGCCTGACGAGGGGCTACCAGAGAACCCTTGTGGGAGAGAAGTGGCAGGGTGGGGCCCTGGAGCCAGCTCAGGAGGAACTGGAGAGGGTGGCTAATGGCTCTCAGGTGGGTGGGTGACCGGGGCATGGGACTGAGGGGCAGCTGTGTTGTAGCTTGTTTTGCTTTGGGGGAACAGCATTTTCTAGGGGGCATCTGCAGACAGCGGCACTTCCTGGCAATGAAAGGGTTTGCGTTGCCGCAGACAGACCATGGGGGAGGGAAAGGGGCCCAAGGCAGGGCCCTGCTGTGGCACAGCCGGTGCCAGGGTGCTGCTTGAGGAAGAGGCTGCCTCACCCCAGGATTTCTCCCCGGAGTGCACACAGCCCCCGCTGTGGGGATTGCACCTGGGGCTGGCGGAGAGGGGTGCTGCTTGCAGCTCCCCCCACTGCAGGCTGCTCTGCACCGCAGGCTCTTTCCCAGCCCACACAGAGCAGGACCGGGTGGATTTACCAGCCACTCCCAAGTCCCCCCTGCAGTGGATAAAACCAGACAAGGGCCTGGGGGATTCAAAGCTGAAAGCACAGACAGAACGAAGCAACAATGCCACACAGGGAGCTGAATTAGCTTGAGCGTAAGTGTAGCTAATGTCCGAGGGGTATCGTGTTAGCCTGAATCTGCATAAACAAGCGTAGCCAGTGTCGCTACTTACTGTGTGTACTACTGGAGACGCACCTACCGGCTGTAGGCAGGAGTAAGGCTCTGTCAAGCACATGGCCTCGGGTGCAAAGAGCTTGCCGTCTAAGGCAAGACATGGATGTGGGAAGGGGAGACAGTCTCATTAGCAGAACTGCTCTTTATTTTGCTTCAAGCTATGCCAGTGAAACAATAGCAGTACAGTGAACAGACAACACCATCACTTGGTGGAATGAAATAAATTCAACCAGAGCAAGTGGAAAATCCATCAGCCAATACAAAGAGGAGAATAAAAGTCTCAGTAGAAGAGTCAATTGTATAATAATGTTGTTAACTAATACCCAAAGGAGCTCATTTTGTTAATACTCTGTGGCGTATGGCTCTGACCAGCGCATATGAGGTATCAGCCTAGGAAATATTTCTCTTCCTAAGTAATTCCCCAGTCAGGGATTAGAAAGTAGAACTGTGTTTCAGAATCAACTATAGCTCAGGCAATGAAAATTCAATACCTTTGCCATTGTCATCAAAAACAATAGACTCTCATAAAACCCTGAAAATTGATAAGGTTGTAAGTAACATTAGAGGCAAGATACAGTTTCCTGAAGTAAAGTGAATAGAGATCCTTTCACATACCGGCCAGCTGAAGATTTGTAACTTGTATTAACACTTTTGAACCATGGGGGAGATCACAGAGGGGTCAGGTCATAATTGTGTGTCTAAATATATCATTATTTTTTCTCACTGAGGAAAGTCTCAGGATCAAATAATGAAGCCGTTTCATCACTTTGTCAGTCCCTACAGGTGCAATCTCATTAGAGCTGAGCTAGAATAGCAGTGAAACCTTCTGATCAAAAGAAGAGCTCTCAAACTGATGTTTAGAGTGCAAATTTCCCTTCTCTTCTCCCAGGAAGCATATTTCCTGAGAGCATAGTTTTAAATATTAATTTTATATTAGACATTTTATTTAAAATCTAAAAATGGAAATCCCCATTTAAAAGAATATTTGAGCTAGGTGTGCCAATTAAGTACTCATGAGTGTATTCTGATATTCTGAGAGAATCACCGTTTTTACCTTTCTTATTATTTTTGGTTTTATCAATTGTGTTACTCAGCAGAGAGACCATGGCACGTACATGTTACTCCTCTATTGCATTATGACTAATGATTATTCTTTTTTTTCTTTTGAAGCCTTTTGTATCAGAATCACTTTTTCAAAAGTAGACTGCTAGAGCCTTCTGGTGACTCTGTAGAGAACTGAGAGGCTAAACAGAAGGTTTATATGTAGCTGGCACCTATTAATAGTATATTACGATGTTTAAGAGAGGAGATTGGCTACTGAGTGCTGGTTTTGTGGCATTTAAAAAATTTTCTGTTTTTTTTTCTATTCTTTGATAAGACTAAACAAACTGAAAACAAGAATGTTCAGATTATAAATCATTTTTCCTACCCTGAGAAATGTTTGGCTTTCACATGTCTGTTCATAGAGTTATGCTCTTTGATTACAGTTGTTGATTAAAGGTCTAGAAAACATGACCTATGAAGGAAGACTGAAAGAATTGGGTTTGTTTAGTTTGGAAAAGAGAAGACTGGGAGAGGGCATGATAAAAGCTTTCATGTACCTAAAAGGGTATTACAAGGAGAAGGGAGAAAACTTATTTTCCTTAACCTTCGGGGGGAGGAATAGCTCAGTGGTTTGAGCATAGGCCTGCTAAATCCAGGGTTATAAGCTCAGCCCTTAAGGGGGCAATTTAGGGGTCATGGGCAAATGTGACAGAGATGATACTTAGTCCTGCTGTGAAGGCAGGGGACTGGACTTGATGACCTTGCAAGGTCCCTTCCAGTTCTAAGAGATAGGTATATCTCCATATATTAACTGCTGATAACAAGAAGCAATGGGCTTAAACTACAGCAAGGGAGGTTTAGGTTTTACATTAGGCAAAACTTCCTGATTGTCAGGGTGGTTAAACACTGGAATAAATTACCTAGGGAGGTTGTGGAATCTCTCGCATTGGAGATGTTTAAGAGCAGGTTAGACAAACATGTATCAGGGATGATCTGGATGGTGCTTGGTCCTGCCATGAGGGCAGAGGATTGGACTTGATGGTCTCTCGAGGTCCTTTCCAGTTCTCGTATTCTATGATTCACCACTAGGTTTTTATGTAACTAGCCATTTTAACATGAAACTTTACCAATTAAAATATTCTTAAGAAACCATGCAGCTAAAAGAACCTTTACTTCCTGAGTTGGTGTAATCCAAATAATTGAAAAAATAGTTTCATGCAACATAAGTGCACTAACACTTCCATCTTGTGGGAGATGGTGGATTTCCAAGCCACAGCATGCAAAATATATAGAGCAACAGTTTCTGCAATGGAAGATGCAAACCTCTGCTAATTCTTCTCTCTCTCAAATGTAGGGGCTGTCTCTTTAAGTTTCTGGTGATATGAACAATAGTGGTTGAGCTGGAAAAACTCAGTGTCTGATTTGTTTTTTTTTTTTTTTTTTTTTTTTACAGAAAGCACTCTGAGCTCATTAAAGCAGCCGCATGCAGATAGTTCTCCTGTGGTGTCATCACCTCACCAAAGGAGAGACTCTGATAGGTACTGCCAGCTCTGTGCAGCCTGGTTCAATAACCCCATGATGGCACAGCAACATTATGATGGCAAAAAGCACAAAAAGAACGCAGCCAGAGCTGACTTATTAGAACAACTAGGGAAGACGCTGGACCTCGGAGAGTTGAGAGGTAAGAGCCTTGAACAGCCTCTGTGTGTTGAAGGGGAAGATTCCTCTTCTGTGGGTTTTAATGGGTTTCCAGCGTAGTCTCTCCCTGTTCACCTTAAGCATTTCTCCTAGCAGTTAGCACATTGGTGGACAATCTGCGCAGGCCGACTGCAACCCACTGAGGTTCCACCTGAATGCCCCCCTCTCCCAAGTGCCCTGCACCTCCTCCCCCACCCCCAGCACTTTCGGAGCACCACAAATCCTCTGATTCGTGCTTCGTTCCTGCTCCTCCCCCTCCCTTCCTACCAGAGCTCAAACGCCGCGAGGCAACTGTCTCTCCTCAGCTGAAGGACTTTCCTTGACCCTTTGCCCCTGCTTCACTTGTTTAAACAGCACGCGCGCCGCCAGACCATGTCAGGGCGCCAAGCGGGACAAGTCACAACCTGTCTGCTTTATGTCTAGTGTTTGCTTAGCGAGCAAATGTTCCTCACTGCGCTGCTGAGTTCTCAGCACTCCGGCTCTTCCAGAAATACGCCTCTTCATGACTGGGGCTCTAAAGCCTCTGGGGTGTGAATATTTTATTTCAGATAACAGACAAAAGTGGTAACTGGATGTGACTTGCTCAGCCGCCCGCGTAAGGCTTTTAACTCTCCACATGGACCCCGAGTCTTGCCTTTGCTTCACTCGCAGGTGTGAGCCTCACCTGGAAATGCATCTTGGTGGCTACATGCTTCACAGCAATTGGCTAGGAAGGACAAGTGTCTGAGCCCCCTTTCGCTGTTCTGTGGCTGATAAATACTCTGCATCCATCCACACGAGAGTTTGGGTTCAGATCCTCCCTTGGTGTATATCAGTGGAGCTTCCTTTTTAACAGCTGTGCTAGCTCACCCCGGCGGGGGATTGGCCCAGTATCAAATGCTGAGGAGACTCTCTCATTAAAGAGTGAGAATTTCTAAAAGGGGGGAACGTTTAAGGCACAAGTTTCCATTGTAATGTGACACCGTTCATTATGTGCGTACCGGAATAATGAATTGAAGTAGACGAAGGGAGAGGTGCTCATTGAGATTTTCAAAACAGCGCAGGGTTTTGCTTTCCCAGCAGAACAGTCAATATGAGTTTTAGTTCCCTTTCTTTTGGCGGAAATGACTATCTCCCCTCAATAACGAAGGCCACGTTTCCACTTGTGGGAAGATCGACGCCGTGGCTTTTGATTTGACATAGTAAAGGCCTGCTGATCTGAACGCTGAGGGTGCTCCCGTCAATACCAGTATTCATCCTCCCGTGAGGAATTAGGGAAATCAACGGGGGCATTTCTCCCGTCAACGTCCCGCTGTGAGGATGGCGCCAAAGCTCGGTTTAAGATATGTCAACTCTAGCTACGTTTTTTACATGGCTGGAATTGTGTATTTTAAGCCGACCTTCCCCCATCGTGTGGACCTGGCCTAATAGACTCGCTGTCACTTATGTATGTCTGAGATTCAGATAAACCCTTCGGCACTTTCCCAGATTCTTTGTGTGCTCCCCAGAATGGCTCACAATGCATCAGT